CGTGGGTTTTTTTAAAACCTGTAGCATCTTAAATCATATGGCACACGTTAAGAAAATAATTCGTAATTTGGGAAAATACATCTAGAAAGGAATTTACTGAGATAAATGAACTTAAAGCTTATTACAGATATTATGAAAAGCATCTATGCTTATCTAATACCTTCATAATATATAAAACTATTTTGAATAATTTTTTAAAAAAACAGTTAGAGTCTTGGTTTTTCCCACTAGATGTAAGAAAGGATTTTATACTCAACAATGAATATAGGTTACAAATATGCAAATACAGAAATGAAGATTCTTATTTGAACTGAACAAAAGTCGTATTTTGGAAATTGCTCTGTATGTTTCAAAGTAATTTGTTGTCTAGGGGTAGTGGCTCATGCGTGCAATCCCAGCACTTTGGGAGACTGAGGTGGGAGGATTGCTTGAGCCCAGAAGTTCCATACCAGCTTGGGCAAGAAGGGAAGACGCCACCTCTACAAAAAAATTTTTTTAAATTAGCTAGTCATGATGGTGCATGCCTGTAGTCCCAGCTCAGGAGGCTGAAGTGGGAAGATCCCTTGGGCTTGAGCTTAGGAGTTCGAAGATGCAATGAGCTGTGATCGCACTACTGCACTCCACCCTGGGTACAGAGCAAGACCCTGTCAAAAAAAAAAAAAAAAAAAAAGAGGAGAATATGTTAAATGTGTCATTTTAAAAAATTATGGAGAAAAAGGACTACCCAACAAGCTTGCCCCTTTCATTATATTCCTGTTGCCTTTATTTATATTCTAGCACCATTATTTCTTACCCAGACTATCGTATCTCCTTCCTGATTGTTCTCTCTGCCATACTCCCATTCTAATCCATCCAATTGGTCAATAGGTACTCATTTAGAGATTTGTATTGCAAAGAACTCTGCTGGAAGACTGAACTCCCACGTCTCTGAACAGTACTGTTCACAAACTTCTTCACAGTACTTTTCAGTACTTCTTCACAAACACATGTAGCAACTTTTCACTTTACAAAACCAAATGTAATTCCAGCCTTGCTTTGCTTTTCAGTATTATACCACACTCACTCTGGCCATATGCCCAACTACTTCAGTCAAAGCAGTACATTCATTCTTCTGTCTGATATGTGTCAGTTTGCAGCATAATTCTGTGAGGCCTATAAAATATATTATTCCTAGAAGTAGACGTTGCGTTCATATCATCAAGCGAACAATCTAAGAAAAGCATTTTGAACTAAAAAACATCAGAAGTATTTTTGAAAAGTTCTTTTTCAAAAGCAGGTAAAATTGTGGAGGGAATTCCCTCCCACAGAAGGAACAAGAGCCCTAACTTACAGCAGGAACAATAAAGTAAAGCACAAGGAACAGGCAGGCTAAAGAACCCAAAGTATAGAGAACTCAGGTATGGGAGAAATGAGAGTACTTGTTATAAACCTCTTAAGAAACAAACTCCAGAGCAAATACAAAACAAAAAGATAAAACCCTTGTCCTGGAAACTTCCACATTTGGAGGGCTAAGAGTTCAGAGATGCATGATCATATGCAAAAAGAAGAAAAAAGAATTTAACTTTCAAAAATGGGGCACATGTTTATTGAGCTCTAATTATATGCAGGGCACTATGCTTCTCTGAAGATCCAGGTAGCCTGAACTACCCAGAATGATCAATCTTGTTCCATCATGGAGTAGTGATAGTAAACTGTAGAGTAATACAATCCCAATATACAACCCCAACTCTTGCCTCAAATGCAGACTCCTGCCTGCCAGAATGAATTCCAAATTTATAATCAGGATCACAGTTAGGCCCTATTAGCTACTCTGTAATTTTTTTTTTAATATTAAGTTCTGGGATACCTGTGCAGAATGTGCAGATTTGTTGCATAGGTATACGTGCACCATGGTGGTTTGCCGCACCTATCAACCCGTCTTACAGGTTTTAAGCCCCACATTCATTAGATATTCTCCTAATGCTCTCCCTCCTCTTGCCCCACGGCCCCCGACAGGCCCCAGTGTATGATGTTTTCCTCCCTGTGTCCATGTGTTCTCACTGTTCAACTCCCACTTATGAGTGAGAACATGCTGTATTTGGTTTTCTGTTCCTGTGTTAGTTTGCTGAGAATGATGGCTTCCAGCTTCATCCATGTCCTTGCAAAGGACATTAACTTATTCTTTTCTGTTGCTGCATAGTAGTCCATGGTGTATATGTGCCACATTTTCTTTATCCAGTCTATCATTGATGGGTATTTTGGTTGGTTCCAAGTCTTTGCTATTGTAAATAGTGCTGCAATAAACATACATGTGCATGTGTCTTTATAGTAGAAGGATTTCTAATCATTTGGGTATATACTAGGTAATGGGATTGCTGGGTCAAATGGTATTTCTGGTTCTAGAACCTTCAGGAATCGCCACACTGTCTTCCACAATGGTTGAACTAATTTACACTCCCACCAACAGTGTAAAAGTGTTCCTGTTTCTCCACATCCTCACCAGCATCTGTTGTTTCCTGACTTTTTAATAGTTGCCATTCTAACTAGCGTGAAATGGTATCTCATTGTGATTTTGATTTGCATTTCTCTATTGCCTAGTGATGATGAGCATTTTTTCATATGTATGTTGACCGCATAAGTGTCTTCTTTTGAGAAGTATCTGTTCATATCCTTTGCCTACTTTTTGATGGGGTTGTTTGGTATTTTCTTGTAAATTTGTTTTGGTTCCTTGTAGATTCTGAATATTAGACAGGCTACTCTGTATTTTTAACCTTTGTGCTAAATTGCCATCAAGGAACACTTATTAAGATAGGAAATAGCACTATTGTTTCATATGTATACTCAGAATTCTGAATTCTACATTAAAACATCTATAATATTTGTGTATGCTTTTCACAAAAGGAAAAAGCTTAAATGCCTCAGGGCAAATCTGCCTGGCTAAGAAATAGATGTAAATACATTTTTTCCTTTACATCCCTTGTAAGTTGGATTCCTAGGTATTTTATTGTCTTTGAAGCAATTGTGAATGGAAGTTCATTCATGATTCGGCTCTCTGTCTGTTACTGGTGTATAAGAATGCTCTTCAAGGAGAACTACAAACCACTGCTCAGTGAAATAAAAGAGGACACAAACAAATGGAAGAACATACCATGCTCATGGATAGGAAGAATCAATATCCTGAAAATGGCCATACTGCCCAAGGTAATTTATAGATTCAATGCCATCCCCATCAAGCTACCAATGAGTTTCTTCACAGAATTGGAAAAAACTGCTTTAAAGTTCATATGGAACCAAAAAAGACCCTGCATTGCCAAGACAATCCTAAGTCAAAAGAACAAAGCTGGAGGCATCACACTACCTGACTTCAAACTATACTACAAGGCTACAGTAACCAAAACAGCATAGTACTGGTACCAAAACAGAGATACAGACCAATGGAACAGAGTCCTCAGAAATAATACCACACATCTACAGCCATCTGATCTTTGACAAACCTGAGAAAAACAAGAAATGGGGAAAGGATTCCCTATTTAATAAATGGTGCTGGGAAAATTGGCTAGCCATAAGTAGAAAGCTGAAACTGGATCCTTTCCTTACTCCTTATACGAAAATTAATTCAAGATGGATTAGAGACTTAAATATTAGACCTAATACCATAAAAACCCTAGAAGAAAACCTAGGTAATACCATTCAGGACATAGGCATGGGCAAGGACTTCATGTCTAAAACACCAAAAGCAATGGCAACAAAAGCCAAAATTGACAAATGGGATCTAATTAAAGTAAAGAGCTTCTGCACAGCAAAAGAAACTACCATCAGAGTGAACAGGCAACCTACAGAATGGGAGAAAATTTTTGCAATCTACTCATCTGACAAAGGGCTAATATCCAGAACCTACAAAGAACTCAAACAAATTTACAAGAAAAAAACAAACAACCCCATCAAAAAGTGGGCAAAGGATATGAACAGACATTTCTCAAAAGAAGACATGCACACAGCCAACAGACACATGAAAAAATGCTCATCATCACTGGCCATCAGAGAAATGCAAATCAAAACCACAATGAGATACCATCTCACACCAGTTAGAATGGCAATCATTAAAAAGTCAGCAAACAACAGGTGCTGGAGAGGATGTGGAGAAATAGGAACACTTTTACACTGTTGGTGGGACTGTAAACTAGTTCAACCATTGTGGAAAGCAGTGTGGCGATTCTTCAAGGATCTAGAACTAGAAGTACCATATGACTCAGCCATCCCATTACTGGGTATATACCCAAAGGATTATAAATCATGCTGCTATAAAGACACATGCACATGTATGTTTATTGCAGCACTATTCACAATAGCAAAGACTTGGAATCAACCCAAATGTCCATCAGTGACAGACTAGATTAAGAAAATGTGGCACATATACACCATGGAATACTATGCAGCTATAAAAAAGGATGAGTTCGTGTCCTTTGTAGGGACATTGGATGCAGCTGGAAACCATCATTCTCAGCAAACTATCACAAGAACAGAAAACCAAACACTGCATGTTCTCACTCATAGGTGGGAACTGAACAATGAGATCACTTGGACTCGGGAGGGGGAACATCACACACCAGGGCCTATTGGGAGGGCGGGGGAGGGATTGCATTGAGAGTTATACCTGATGTAAATGACGAGTTGATGGGTGCTGACGAGTTGATGGATGCAGCACACCAACATGGCACAAGTATATATATGTAACAAACCTGCACGTTATGCACATGTACCCTAGAACTTAAAGTATAATAATTTTAAAAATTTTAAAAAATACATTTTTTCTGTAGATTTCATTAAATTACAGAGAAATGTAATTTTAAAGGCTATGAAAATAAGGTGAAGATTATGTAATGCTAATAAATGAATAAAATCCATACCAAAGCAGAATATTCTAGATTAATCTGAAAAGCTGTTTCTAAGACTTTAAAAAATGAGAAAAGCCATTTGGCAAAATCTTTAACTTAGAGTTTTTGGTTTGATTTTCCTTCTAGGTTTCAGATTCAGAGATGTGCAACTGATCCAAACAGTTATAAAAGCTTGGTAGACAGCTTTCAAATGATTTTCCAAATGGAAGGGTATGTATATTCTTCATATAGCCATTTTAATATGTTTTTACTTAACATGTTTTCTCATTTTGAATGGTTTATTTTCCTAGTCTTACTAGGGGCAAAATACTTAAAAGGGTAACTTTCTACTTTGTTATGCTTTTCCTAATAATGTGATTGAAACCTGAATGTTTATATAATGGAAACTACCACAAAAAGATATTAATAAGTAGTTTAATGACTAGAGGACAATTTTTAATTTATGCCACTAGGGTTGTTTCAAGTTTCTATAACTGGGGCTCTCTAAACTCAATAGTTCTTTATTTTGGTACTGTAATATAATGTCCAAATTCATTCCCCATTCACACTCTAGTTTATGAATATGCAAATAAAACAGATCTGTATCAAAAATTGATGCATCAAGGCTGGAAGCAGTGGCTCACACCTGTAGTTCCAGCTACTTGGGAGGCTTAGGTGGGAGGATTGCTTGAGCCCGAGAGGTGCAGGTTGCAGTGAGTTAGGATTGCGCCACTGCACTATAGCCTGGGCGACAGCAAGACTGTCTTAAAAAAAAAAATCGATGCATCCAATTAATTATCTGATCTATTAAATGGTCAAATAAATAGAATATTTGTTTATATAGGCTAAAATTATCTTCAATGTGTTAGATTCAGTTAAAAACTGTATCCAATAAACATATGTGTGCACATGTCTATTGGAAGTGAGGGACTAGGGGAGGGATAGCATTAGGAGAAATACCTAATGTAGATGACTGGTTGGTGGGTGCAGTAAACCACCATGGCATGTGTCTACCTATGTAACAAACCTGCACGTTCCTCACATGTATCCTAGAATTTGAAGTATAATAAAAAAAAAATTTTAAACTATCCAGTATAATTTTTCAAAGAATATTGTATTTCCTTTTGGAAGTTGTTTTTATAAGAAAATTGTTGAAAAAATAATCTTTCAAATATGTAACAGGAATAATAATAACTAGTATATATTTAGCTTCTATTATGTAGTAGGGATTCTTCTTACAACTGTATTATGTAGGTTCTGTTGGGTTCCATTCCAATTGGACAGATAAAGAAGACTCAGAGAAGTTAGTAAGTTTCACATTTCTGGTGAGTAGTGGAGCTGGGAATCAAATCTAGGTCTGCTTGACCCTAAAACCCATGCTCTTAACTGCTGTAGATCACTACTTGTCTTGCCAGGTTACACTATAAATACTATTCTGCTAATCATTTATTTCAGTTAAACTTGTATTATGGATATCTTTCCATGCCAGTATATTCTCTTTAACAACATAGTAATTTATTTTATCTATATGTTGCAATTTATTAATCTCTATGGTAGACCTTTAGGTTGCTTCCAAATTCTTGCTATTATAAACAATAGTGCAATAAATATTTTCATACTATCTTTGCACATTTGTATCTATTTATATATTTTAATATATAGTATATTTTGATATATTGACATATATATTTATATAACTTTTACATATTTTTATCGTTTTAATATATTAGTACAATAAAGTACATTGTTAGCTGTGGACTTGCAGGATCAAATGATATGCATGTTTTATATGAGAGATGTTGACAAATTACCTTCCAGAAAGTATGTACTGATTTTATACCCTTAAGATTTGAAACTTCTTATTTCTTCACACACTCTCAAACACATTATAAATCATTATTTGGTATATCTGTCACTGATATGTATCTCCCATTTACCATCTGACCCATGAAAAATAGAACTGTCCTAAGTGCATTCCTTTGAATGTTGTAGGGATTGAGCATACTTTCATATCATTAGGCATCATTTCTTTTGCAAATTGCCTATTTTGTGTCCTTTATCCATTTCTCTTAGATTAGATTTTTTAAAAAATTGATTTGTAGGTGCTTATTATGTATTATAGATACTAATCATTTGACTATTATGTAGACTGTAAACAATTTTTCCAACTTGTCATTTGTCTTACCTATAGTGTCTTATACCTTTCAGAAGTTTGTGATTTTTAAAGATTGTAATTTTATATTATCTATCTTTTCCATCCTGATATCTAATGATGTCGCATTAAAAAAAATTCTCTAGCCCCAAGATTATAAATATTTTCTTCTGGTAGTTTTTTACATTACAATTTTTAATCCAGCTGATAATTTTTAATGTGCAGTGTGGTATACAGAAATTAAATTTCATTTTGAAATGGTCAGTCAATTGTCCAAACACCACCTGCTGAAAAAAATCTATCCTTTACTCACTAATTGGAAATGCTGCCTTTTTTTGTTTTGTTTTGTTTTTGGGTTTTTTTTTTTTTTTTTTTTTTTTTTTTGAGATGAACTCTCACTCTATTGCACAGGCTGCAGCGCAGTGACACAATCTCGGCTCACTGCAACCTCCACCTCCTGGGTTCAAGTAATTCTCCTGCGTTAGCCTCCCAAGTAGCTGGGATTACAGGTGCCCGCCACCACGCCCAGCTAATTATTGTATTTTTAGTAGAGACAGGGCCTCACCATGTTGGCCAGGCTGATCTCAAACTCCTGACTTCAAGTGATCCACCTGTCTCGGCCTCTCAAAGTGCTAGGGTTACAGGTGTGAACCACCACACCCAGCCAATGCTGCCTTTTTCACATATTAAACTTCTACACATATACCCTCTAATTTTCCATTTTGATTCTCCATTTCCTATTCTGTTTCATTCATTCATCTATCTATAGCTATATCAGCATCATACTGTTTTAATTATTTTATCTTCAGAGTATTTGGGAAATATATAAAAATATACCTCATGGTATGAAGTTCAAACTTCTTGTCATAGTATGCAGAGCTTTCGTGGCATGGTCCTTCTTCATACTCAGATCTGCTCTAGGAATAGCAGACAGTTTGCAGCACTCTGGTCTCTCATATTCTCAGGGTTTTTCCATGCTCTTCCCTATTCCTGAAGGACCCAATCCCCAAACCTTCCCTAGAAACTATCCCTTTCCATTTAAAAGTGACTTCACATTTCACCTTCCCTGACCCTCTTTTCTCTATCATGTGCTGAATTATTTCCCCAGTCTTTTCTTTACATATGCTATATAAAATATAGCATACACCATCCTGGTTTATGAAGCTCATTTTCTATCTCCCTTTTCCCACCCCAAGAATATATTTCCTAAGGGTCATGTCCCGATTAGCTCTGTATTCCTTACACTTGTGTTTGGCACTGAGTAGAGACACTCAGTAAGTATGCTAAAAATGAATGGAAGTCATCACACCAACATCATAACGATGCGAAATGAAACAGAGATGATAACTGAAGAGTTATCTTAGTCTATAGAAGATAGACTAACCTCTCTGAAGTTATGATAATAATCTTGATGTTTGATTAAATATTTTGAGGTCACCTAGTGACAAAAGTCGACAAGTTCTTCTAGCTATTACTCTAGTGATGTGGTGTCTAAATGCCCTACGTTGATAATATAAACCTTTATATTATGACAAGAGAGTTAAGAAAATCATAGTGCATTATGTAGCCAATGAAAGTATCCCTTTCCTGCAAAACAGTAATGTCAGCATTACTGAGATCTGTGAGCTGTAACAGATATTCCTGAATTGGATGTGGCAGTTCCTTAGCCAAGATCTTCAATTCATGTGTGTTTTGGGAAGAATTTGATGGTTCTGCTTCTGCTTTGATATCAAATAATATAACAAACATACAGTATGTGTGGTCCTTACATAGTGGAATTGGGCTTTTTCTCTCCTGTATGTATAATTGCTTCTAGAGCAAATTGACATTCTTCCTGTGATGCCTTTAAATCTGGACATGCTGTTAGCCAAAAGCCAGAGAGCTCTAGTCTTAGAGATGGAAATATTGTAAAAACACAAAATAAAAAGCTCCCTGTTAATTTTTACACAGAGCAAGAGCATTTCATAGCCTTGGGTTAAACGAAAGAAAAAAGCAAAACAAAAAAGAAACGAAAGAGAAGAGAAGAAGACAAAAGCCTTTTAACACATACTGTGTTAATTTTTTTCCCTAGTCAAAGAAGTTCCTTTTGACTTTCTTTGAGAGCCACTCCGTTTTCAAAGATGTTGTCATTCCTACTCAGGTGCATAGAGGCCTGTTTGGCCTGTGGCCTGCAGGGAAGATAGCACTAGTCAATTTTGACTGTTGACATAATTAGGAGAATTCACCTCTCCTGGTTTTTCCTATCTCCTCCAAGTTAAAGGTTTTGAGAGCTCATCCTTTTCTTTTATTTAAAAACATTAAAGTCTGTATTTTTAGTGGAGACAGGGTTTCATTGTGTTAGCCAGGATGGTCTCAATCTCCTGACCTCATGATCCACCCACCTCGGCCTCCCAAAATGCTGGGATTACAGGCGTGAGCACCGTGCCCGGCCTAAAAAAATACAAAAAAATTAGCCGGGCATGGTGGTGGGCGCCTGTAGTCCCAGCTACTCGGGAGGCTGAGGCAGGAGAATGACATGAACCCAGGAGGCGGAGCTTGCAGTGAGCCGAGATCGCACCACTGCATTCCAGCCTGGGCAACAGAGCGAGACTCCGTCTCAAAATTAATTAATTAATTAATTAATTGAAGTCTGTTAATACACTTAAAATCTTCACAAATCTCCCATTTCCCCAACGTTAAGAAAATGAAACAGTTCTCTCCACCATTCTTAGAGATGCAATTCCTCACCTCTCTGCTCAGAATTCACTTGCTTTCAACAGACATGAGTCCAAATCCCGTTACTGTTTCTAACATTCTTTTTCTTCTTAAAAAGCGTAGATACATTGTACTTTTTAATAAAAACCATGTCTTATGAAAGACATGGTTTTTTAACACAGCTTTACAGAAGTGAGGTTAAAGCTTAAAAAGAGAGGCATTCCAAATTCCAGGTAAGGATTTCTATTATAGGGAATCCTCACACTTAGCTAATTTTTACAAAAGAGGCTGTTTTCTATAACATAGAAGAGAGAACTCATAGAAAATGAAGGCAGTGAAGAAATATCACTGTTGCGAGTACCTTCATCATCACCACAACTTTTCA